AAACGAATTTTAGCCAAAAGTAGTTTTTGGCATTTTTCGTCAAATAATTATCAGATTTTTGGCCAAAACTTTGGAAATATTCGTCCAAATATCGAATGGCATATCTCGATGAACTTGTTATTAAATCCTCAATTGATTTGAGTTAAAATTTGGTAATTTTATTTTTTTTGCGATTTTTTGCAAAATTTGATGATGTTACCCTTACAAAATTGAAAAAAAATAAAAAATTTTTTTTTTTCTAATTCCGCTTGAAAGTGATAAAAATAATTGGCATGAGAAAAAGCTGTAAGAAAAAGTTTTTGTGAGGCCTTTATGATAATTTTTTACCAAGTTATATCGAATAGCCCTTCAAAAAAAACGAATTTTAGCCAAAAGTAGTTTTTGGCATTTTTCGTCAAATAATTATCAGATTTGTTGGCCAAAACTTTGGAAATATTCGTCCAAATATCGAATGGCATATCTCGATGAACTTGTTATTAAATCCTCAATTGATTTGAGTTAAAATTTAATAATTTTATTTTTTTGCGATTTTTTTGCAAAATTTGATGATGTTACCCCTTACAAAAATTGAAAAAAAATAAAAAAATTTTTTTTTTTCTAATTCCGCTTGAAAGTGATAAAAATAATTGGCATTGATAAAAAGATGTAAGAAAAGTTTTTGTTATGACTTTATGAACTTTTTTGGCCAATTTATTTCGAATAGGCCCTCGAAAATTACGAATTTTAACCAAAAGTAGTTTTTTGGCCTTTTTCGTCAAATAATAATCCGATTAAATAAATTCAATATCAATTTGATTTGATTTTCTAAGCACATTTATGTAAGTTATAATGGACAAAACCCTAACATATCCCCATATTATCTGGCTCATTCCTAGACATCTCAAGGGAAGCTACTGAATCTGCTCCCTCATATTTCTTTGCACGACGTGGGAAACTCATTAAATGCGGGGAAGCTCAATAGAAAAAATTAGAAAACGATAAAATTGCGGAATAAATCACTTAAGCGTTGAAAAATGTAATTAACGACAGAATGATAATGATGCGGCGTAACTTGTTTCTCGCACTTCTTTCCGCCGCAGAGTCTGGACCTGGAATCTTTTGTAGGATGGGGGTGGAAAACCTCAGGGACCGCGGCAATATGTCGAGGCACGCAGTGTTAATAGATTTTTCCAGCCACGCAACCCAGGCTGGCCGACTCACGGATCCTTTATCCTGGCTTCCCCCGGTAATCACCCGCTCAGAGGACTCTTAGTCCTTCTGTGGACCAGACCAGAACAGAGCAGAGCGAGGCAGCCAGCCCGTGGAAAGGTCATTAGGCGAGGGCGACGCGGAAAAACCGGCAATAAAACGACAAAGCCAAGAACCAGGCACAATGACTAAGAAAGGCGATGAGTACGGCATAAGGAAGAGATAAAATATGCGGCATCATGGGAGCGGGAAAGCCGAAGGATGTGGAGGATGCGAAGGACACGAAGGGAAGCTGAGCCGGTAGCCTTTATGCTTTATGTGGGGCATCCGTTGCAACCAGTGGCAGAAAGCGGAGCACGTTAAAAAATGGGGAATTACTCAGTTTCAGTAACAGTATCTAAACAGAAAGTAGGGACAGATTACTTTAAATTTTAGCTATGAGCTGGGCTTTGGCATTTCATTATTTATTTACTTTTATTTAAATTCATTCAACCTCCTTTTATTCTTAAATTAAGTAGCTAGAATATTATTTGTTTTGAGCAATTTCTTTCAGTGTGGCAAACGCATCAGCACAGGCGTTGCGCCGCAGCTTATCTCATAAGAAATTGAGAAATTTGCAATCAGGATGCCGACTTCCAGAGTAGTTGTAGTAGTGGTTGTACTTGTAATAGCGGAGGTCCTCGGGCAGTTCGCACCTCGGATTGTAATTGGTGTTGCTTTTGTCGTTGTTGCACGTCTCGCCTATTCGCACTTAGGCGGGGGCAGCGGCAAGGATACAGGACTCTCCCCCAACACGATGCAGGATATACAGCATTTAAATAGCTCAAGCCAACTGCTTTAAGCAGTCGTCCTGCAGCAGGATTTGCATCCTCTGTGCGGGTGTGTGTGTGTGTGGGTCTTTGTGTGTGTGTGACAGGTTTACCCACTCGGGGGATCCGGATACCCAGTTCTGGGCAGGAAGAGGATTGCCCGGTGCCGTGCCCATGGCTTGCCTCACTGGGCTTGTTTGCAATTTAAATCGAATTTCCTGTGTGCAGTAAATAAACTTTGCAAAAGGCATTCCACTCGGCACACAAAAAAGTGTCCTGTGACCACAGGAGCAGCCAGAGCCGCCTTTGAAAGGCGGTGTAAGCTGAATAAGCAGTAAATTAATTTCCGAAAATATCATGAAATACTGGCTTATTTCAGGAGGTCCTTTCTAATTCCGACAATTGGTAGGGGGAAAATGCAAGAGGTCAAGTTAATGCACTTTGGAAGACTCTAACGTGTACCTTGGGTCAGAAAATGTACCATTTTCTGTATATATATTTTTTTTTGTTGGCACCAAAACCCAATTATCTATATATATAATTCCATTTTATTTTACATTTATATTGGCCTAGTACAAGGAGCGCTTGAGATACCTTCTCCTGGTATTTCCAATTAAATTGCAGCTCTGTAAATTCCACAAGCCCTATGCAGCACATTTATGTACCTCAAATAGAATGTGAAAAGTTAATTTGGTTGGGATTGCAACACGAGCACACAAAAGGCTTGGCTTTCCCAGTTGAACACAACCCAATTTCGGTCTCCGTTTCAATTTCCCCAATAATATGTGTAATTTATGGTCAACATGCAATTAACTGGCACGAAAATGTGCAACATTTGCCATTTGAATGCATTTTGGGCGGCCAAATGTAAGCCGCTCTTGCAATGCACCTGCTATTGTGATGGCCAGCCAGAATTGCCCTCCTCGGGCTGCATATACAGTGTGCCTGTCACCTGGTCGAGCAGCAGTTATGCAACTAATAAGCCCAAGCTACCCGGAGCCAAACTCAGCCGTGGATCTGGTGACCGAGGAGCAAGCAGATGGAAAATTGCAAATTTCAAATTCTACGGCCAAAACGCACGGCTGCATTGTAGCAGCCTCCACATACTTTTCAGCCTCCCCTCTCTCTCTCTCTCTCTCTCCCTCTCTCTCTCTCTCGCTCTCTCCCTCTCCCTCTCCCTCGTCCTTCTGACAGTTGATTGCAATTTCCAGGAGAACAGAAAAACAAAAAAATGTATACAAGCAGTGATTTCAGTGCGGAGAATTTACAAGCAATTGTATGCCAATAAGGAAAAGAAGGCAACACGTGTGTCCCACAACAACAGGACCAAAGGGGGCGTGGCCGGGGTGGTTGAAGTGGGCGGAAAACGTGGACTGCCACTAGTGGACTATTGCAATAAAAGAAATTCTGCGAATATTTCAAGCAAGCCAGTCAGCAGTCAAGCGCACACAGGGCGGCTGTGCGATATTTCTCTGCACCAGCAGCAGCTCGCACACACAGAAAAGCAATTTCGATATAAGCACCTTATGCCAGATGGCCAGATGCCCCACCACAGTGGAGTGGAAGCAGGCGAAATGGCTTAAAGGGTTGATTTAGCCAAATAGTTGTGCGGTTTTCTGGTGATTTGGAAAGTCGATCGGACCAAATAGCAACTCTATATTGTTAAAAAGCTTTAGCAGTGTAAGAAATAAATTATGAAGATACATAAAAATAAATCTACGCTAAGAAATGGATAACTCAAGAAAACAAGGATGTTCTCCATACTTCCGTGCAATCCCAACAACAGGCCAAAAGAACGATTTATCTTACAACTCCTTTTTTAATTAAACCAGATTTTGCCGAAGCTTGGTGCCAATGTGCATTGGTATGACTCCTTCTGCATCTGACTGCTGCTGCTGCTGCTGCTGCGGCTCCTGTCCTGCATGTCCTTTAGTGGTCTTGGTGCTTAGCGCGTGATTTATAACAGCAGGGGAAAAAATAGAAGCCAAAAATCCGAGCCAAGGAACAGGCATCACAGGGCAGCAGGCAAAGAGCAGGAGCCAAAGCTCAGCAGAGTAAAGGGAGCCAGGGAGCCAGGGAGCCAGGGAGTTGGAACAGAGCTACTGTGTGGCCAACAGCACGTAACTGTTAGCCGCTTCCCATTTCCGGCTGTCATGTGCAGCCACAGCGAGCAGAAGATTGTGCTCCATTTGCCTGGCCAAGCCGATCTGGCCTAGCTGCAATTGCAGCCAAGCTCCTCGGTATTGCCACGTATGCATATACGTATATTTGATATAGGTAAGCCGGGGTGTTGCTTAATTCAAACGTCGATGCCCTAGCAACTGGCAATTGCATAGTTAATCAAGAAAACAATCAACTGGGCCAAAAGCCATTGATTTATTATGCAAACAACCAGCAGCGGGACAATGAAGAGTGGGCTGGCTTAGTTGCCTGGCTTTTTAATCGCCGGGTAAACAGTTATTAATTGTGCGCCGATTGTTTGCTGCGGCTTACACAAATGCCGTTTCCTACTTACCGGCGTTGCGGGGCTTTTGCGAATTAATCTGTTATGATTGTCATTTGATAAGCTTATCATGGAACCACGCCGCGGGATGGGCACACTTGTCAAACAAATGGATTGCTCAGTTTGGGGCATTGTTTGCAGCGCTTGTCTGCCAATTGGCAGACTATTTGGAAAAGGGATCAAGGAGCTGGGAATGTTCTCTCCAATTAAAACCATCAATCTTTTGATAACTTTCCAAAATCTTGGTTAACTCTCTAATGACGCTTTAAGCACTTGCAGCTTTTAAATTAATTTGAAAAAAGAACCAGCTTCGTTGTAACTCTTATTCAACCCTGTTTAACCCCGGACAAAACGCATCCTGAACACCCCTGGGAACTATAAAATTGAAAGTTTTTCTGTTGCGCGGCAACTAACCAGACACAAGCCCCATTGATTTATGTGCGAAACGTGTTATCAGAGGTACTTTGCTGCAAAAAAGGGTCACTTTGCCTAGCACTTACCACATCGATCAGCTGGGAGAGGCGCAGACCCATCTTGACGGTGAGGCGGTCCGAGTTGTTGCCCACGGGTCGGATGAGGCGATTGTAGTTGCTCAGCAGGTCGTCGTAGAGTCGCTTTGCATCTGGGTTGGCCAGGCCGCCGGTGGCAAAGTGTAATGCTATGAATACAGCTGCGAATAGCACGCTACCCATCTTAGGCCAGGTCCAACCCTGGTGTTGGAAATAGAGTAAAAATAAATATGGAAATAAGTTGCGGGTAATGTCTTTTGCCAGTGCGGATTTAGTTCGGCTTGCATTAGCATTATTTCAGTATAAAACATAAAAACTTTCCACTGCAATTGTGCGAGTGCGAGTCGTAAATTTTGCTAAAGTGTCAAAAGTCTTGGAGCTTTGTTCCCTTTTGGGGCACCAGTAGCACCAGTAGCACCATCGTGCAGCCGTAAACACCATTTAATCTTTGGCTCAAACACTCAAGACACCATCGCAAACAAGCATGAGTATGTGTGTGTGTGCGTGTGTGTTTACGTGCGTGTGTGTGTTGGAGCATCCTTCCGTTTCCGGCGTCCCCCTGCGCTCCACGTTTTTGTTATTGTTCAAGCCCGGAGTCCTGCCCACACAATTACCCATATACTACACATCACACACCAGCCACCCACTCAATATGCGTTTCTGCATTTTATGCATAAAAATCCCAGCGTTATGCCAACAGACATTCTGAAGTGCTGTCGTGTACAGCTACATTAGGCGCAAACAAGCAATTATTATCAATTCCTGGGCATTCTGGCCAATTAGAAAAGTGGCCAAGAAGCAGAGATGCAGAGAAGCAGAGAAGCATAGAAAAAGGAACGATATATGTGTACCAGTAAATATTGACCCAAGTAATTGAGACAAAAGCAATAACTGTTTGCTTGGGCAGATATAAAACTGAAATATTTGGCAATGCAACTTTCATGTGGCACAAACAAGGAGTATCACACTGCACACGAAGTAAATGGTTATCTACATATATTTACATATTCCTGAGCAGCTCGATCAATTTTGGCTACTTCGGCTAACTCGGAATGGCCACTTGACCAAGTGGTTTTATGCCGACTCAAGATTTGCCCAAGCAAGGCTACTGTAACTTAAGACTTGAAACTTTTAACTGAAAAACTGTATACTTAAAAGTTTGTTATGCTTAGTTTTAGCCTTTTTCCTCGAACTCCGCAAAAGTTTTTCGCAAAAGATTTTGTGTGTCAGCTGGAAAAGTTTTCCATAATTTGATGTGCACATAGAAAATCGTATGTGATGAATCTGAGGGAGCGAAAAGGAATGTCCTCGGCCAATTACATTTATCAATTTGATGGTTTGGCAACGAGGCTAAATTAATTATGCTAATTTAATGTGTAAATTGTTCGTAATTTGTGCATTGATTCTATAAAAGTGCGGCTCTATCTCGACCCAAAATAAATCAAATCACACACCAACGTCTGCATAATTCAGCACAAAACACGTGTCACTGACCGCAGAGCAGAGCAAAAACAGCAGGGAAAGAAATAATAATAATAATATTAGCCGGGAAGGCAACATGACATGTACACAAAATGGCGACAGGACAACGAACAACCGAACAACGAAAATGGCTGGCATAAACAACGACAACGAAAATGAATGTCATTTCGAGGGCTATTTATGCGCCTCTTAGTTGGCAGATTATTTCATTTTCATTTCCATATGACCATTTATATTTATTTATTATTTATACTCCCTCACACACGCACGCACACCCAATTTTTTGGCCACAATTTGGCTTGCTGCGGCTGTCAACGCTGCGTATGCGCAATATTATTTGCTGACTATTTATTAATATGTACTGGGTGTCAGCTGTGTGTGTGTGTGGGCTTGTGTGTAAACTTTTCGTTAGAGCACTGCTCACCATAAAAACCAGACGATGACGTGTCCTGCCCCGAAAATAGCTCGCAAAGCCATTAATGAAAAATGTAAACTGCAAAACTTTCTCATTGAATGTTTGCTGGCTTTTTTGTTGCGAGAGTTTTAGAAGGACTACGATTGCTGGTCGACTGCACAGTGGACTATTATTCAGTATATACTCATATCAAACATGCATATTAATTTACACGTTTCTCTTTAAAGCATTCAAGCCATATGTAAAATATAGGTGAATATTTCTATAAAACTATAGCTTCAGAATGCCTTTACGGTTCAGTAAAGTTCCCGTGTACACCACTGTTCGCCAGTTTAATTACACAAATGTTTCTTCTCCATTTTGGTTACACGGAGTTGGCAGGATAATGAAGCCAAAAAAGTGACATTGACTGCGGGCCACAATTTTAATTGCAATCGGAAAAAGAACAAAAAACATAGATAGAGGGAAGAGTAGAGACCGGCTTATTGCGGAACGAGCTTGATTTTAGCACAGGCAGGACAAATTCTCAGCTTTTTCGAAAGGGGATCTGTGAAATTAACGCTCGGTGCTTCATCCTCATTTGCGGGGATTGAAGTCCACTACGACCGCGATTAAGTGCAGCAGAAGCAATATGAGCAGCGGTTCAGGTTCCCCGCCAACAGCAGAACAAATTGTTATGTAATTGCCCGATGTATATATATATATAGACGAGATACACAATCCACTGTAACACTGCCGCACAAAGGCAAGCACCGGCATCCTGTTTTCCCGCTTGCTTCCATTTTATTAGCACTTGTTGGTCGCCGGAGGGGCGGAGGAGCGGTGCGGTGGAGCGGTGGTGGAATATAAAAATAATAAGTATCAAAAATAACTGACCAGCTCTATGGCCGTAAAGAGAACGAGACGGACATTGAATGCACTCGACGTGTCCGACGGTGGCTATAATTTCAATCACTTCCCCGGCAAACTGAAACTGCAGCAGGAGCAGCCAAAATGTGGCATTAAAAACACTCGTAAACGTTGCAGGATCGCAGGACTCAGCTGAGCTGAGGGGTGAATTTTAGTGTATCAGCTTCTCTGCTCAATTTTTTCCCTTGTGCTTTTCCACCCGTTTGAGTGCAGCGGGCGAAATTGCAGCAAATATTGAAAGAGAAACTATTTGTTAGCTAGCCGTCAATTTGTTCGTAATGAGCTGCGGCTGAGTCCAAAGTCCAGGCTCTTTGTTGTTGGCCAACTTTTGTTGCTGGTGCTTGTGCTGTGTTGTGCCACAAATGAAAATGTCTTTCAGCGTGGTAAATATTTTATGTCATTTCTGTGCTCGTCTTTTGTGCGCTTACTTGTAGTTGCCTGGGTGCTTTATTTTTGTATTTTTTCTTTTTTCGGTTTTTGCTTCCTTCACTTTGGCCCGCTTGTTGTTCCCTTTTTCTTTTATTTTGTTTTTTCTTCTTCCGCTGGCATTTTTAAGCGCCAGTAAATTTTTTAGTAGGCAGAGCTGCGCAGAGCAACCGCAGCAAAAGCAGCAACAATAACCAAGTGAAGCTCTGCCGGAAACGCCGTCGACGGCAAAATGGCTGGCGAGTCAACTTCCGCTTGCTGTATGTGAGCTGTATGTGTGTGCGTATGGGTGCTCTGGGTGTTGTGGGTGCTGTAAGGGTGTGGTGAGGGTGTGTGCTCTGGGCAGAGGGGCTCCTGCAATTTTCCAGTCGAGTTCGTTTTTCATTTCCGTGTTATTTGTTTTGCATGTGCCACTTCGTCCCTTATCCCATTTCTTTGTTACTCCCACGCCGCCTTTTTCGTTGCATACTTTTGGGCTGATATATTAACATGGCCGCAACGGCAGCTGCCATTTTTGGCATTGTTGCTGTAATTGCTTTTGTCTCTGTGCCCCCGTAATTGAATTTCACTTTTCCCCCTTTCAAAAAGACCCGTCATCATCGCACTTAATCCGTTGGTTCCCCATGCGAATCAACTCGTTTCTGTGCCTGAAAAAGTTGCACTCACAAAAACAATGTATACAACTATAGTCAAGAGTTCTGACCATTTATTCTTTGCAACTGCTCATATTGAATTAAATGCCATACATTTCCACTACCGTAATTAGTGTTTATTTAAGAAAAGCCAGTAGTTGTATTAACTTTCTTTGGGTACTCGAATTCCCAGCCCACTAAAGCCATTCGAGTGTCTAATTTATGCAAATATGTTTTATATAATTGCAGTGGCTTGGTCCTTCGCATTGATTGGCCTGTTATTAGCTGGCTGACTATCTGGCTGAGTGCATTTTTCCGAAATTATGTAAATTTAACTGAGAATTATGTGCAGAATCAGATGCATGCATAATTTATACATATTTTGAAGTCATTTCTTGGGCAATGCTAAAGGGTGGAGCTGTGTAGCTGTGCTCGGAAAATTCATAGCCAAAAGCTAAAAGTGAGCACACAAATCGAATGGGGGAAAGCTTCAAGCCGGGAAGGGAAAAGCCAAAGGGATAGATGTAGTAGGAGAGTTGTATAATCAAAGGAGCGCGCACACACACTGCCGTAATTTGGCTGAAGGTAGTCCAAAATACCTGGCTGAGTTTTTTGCGTGTACTTTTTGTCGGGTAAAAGTAAAAGCTGAAATTTTGTTATTTGAACTTTTGCTTATGAGCGCCCTCAGGTAGCTTGTTAAACATTCTTGGGCTGCCTACATATACACAAATTTATATGGAAGTGTGTGTACATGTTGTGTTTTTTTTTGAGAAACGAGAGGCAAACTTCAACTTGAAACATGAAAATTTGCATATGATAAGCAAATAAGCAGATGTATGCAAGGTAGCTGGGCAAAGTTTTATTAGATTCTTGATTCGTGAATGGAAAAGGGCAAATCGGCGTTGATGGCACGGGTAGCGCGCTTTTGCGGCTTCTTCTGGCCAACGGAGGCTATGAATATGCGGACCGAAAACCTTTGGAAATATGCAAAGCATTTGAAAATTATTTTTGCATAAATAAAGTTGATGTAGTCTCTTGTGTGTGGCGCGCCAAAGGGTTGCAAATGAGCTCAAACATCTGAGCATTAGGTCCAAAGAGGCTTACCAACTATGTACCATTGCACAGTCACTTGAGCAGCGCAAATGATGTGCAAATGTGCGTGAACCGCACACAAATGGTGGAACTAAATCCGTACAATGCGGCGTATGCGCAATATTTAATTTCAAGTGCTGCGAGCTCTCACACGCACGACACACACGCACCTAGACAAAGCTAATTTTCGCTCAAACTGAGGGTGAGTGAGTGTGTGTGTGTTGCGGAGCGTGTGTGTGTGTGGG